TTACATTACGATTCATAACAGTAGCAACATTACAGTTATGAAGTAGCAACGAAAATAATTTTATGGTTGGGTCACAACATGAGGAACTGTATTTAAAGGACCAGAAGTTTGAGAACCACTGAAAAACTGGGGATTGAGCCTGCAGCCGAGGTACATGTCCATGACCAGAATCCAACCCAGGATCCTTCAGTCTGCAGGTCTTTGCTCTATCCATTCAGCCAAACTGACTAGGTTCTTCAGCATTCTTTACATACAGCAACAGGAAGTAGGAAATCCTAGACTTTATACTGGCTTGGCATTGTACACACTGTGTCCCTTTCTGCTAGCTTTGTGGCCTTGGGCACAGTATCTAACCTTTCTGTCTGTGCCATGGCCTAGGGTTCTGGTGAAGTGTGGCCAAAACGATATAAAATATACAGCACTGTGTATACGTTTCATAAAAACAACTTGACCCTTCCTTATTTCTGGCTTATATGAAATAAGAACATGATCACTTATTTCTAAAAGCCAATAAAGTTGCTAAGACAAACAGATAATTGAAAACTCAAACTTTTTTTATGATCCCTAAGGTGATGAATGTAATTTATCAGCTGCCTGAAATTCTTTCCGAAACAAGGCAAGGTATAAATAAATTAATAAAGTGTGACTTGGAAGAGATACCTCTTTTCAGAAGGTCGTATTGACTGAAATATGGCATGAGCTGCATTACAGTGGACTTCTCTGCTGGCGTTCATCAAAGATCCTGTTTTAGTGGTGAATGCCTGTGGAAAAGTTCCCTTGTTATTTCACAAAGAAAATACTGATCATATCAAATTCTGCCACATGGTGTATTGTCAAAGAAAAGGACATTCCTTTTGTGTCTTGCTTTTGTAGATTGCAATGATTAAAGTGGCCGCCCCTCGGGCCGTCTGCAAAATTATTGACCGGGCCATCCAAGTGTGTGGAGGTGCAGGTGTTTCTCAGGATTACCCTCTGGCTAACATGTGAGTAGGTGCCATTTCATAACCATCTGCATTTGATGGGCTAGGAGTTAAAAATCTACAGCTGCCTTGACACTAACTGTTTAAGAAGGAAATAAAGATACTAACTTACTTTAAAGTATAATTGAAGGCTAAATAAAGTACTAGTTATAGACAGACTGCATAGGAGGTCAGTGCCTAACCAACTAGGGTACATTGGTACTTTAATATAGAGCTCAGTACCAAAAAAGAGTTGCTCTTATGATTACAGCTAGAGGCCTGATGCATGAAATTTGTGCAAGAGTAGACCTTCCTTCCCTCGGCTGCCAGTACCGGCTTCTCACTGGCACCCGGGGCCTGGACTTCCCTTGCAGACACACTTCATCTGGAAGGATGTCCAGTCTAATTAGCATATTATGCATTTACTATTATTATAGACTAGAGGCCCAATGTACGAAATTCGTGCAAGAGTAGGCCTTTGCGGCTGCAGCCCTGGCTTCGTCTGGAAGATTGTCCAGACAGCTGTTCGGTCGATTTGCATATTATGCTTTTATTATTATAGATGACCAATTCACTCAATTACATTAACTTTTACACTGGCGTTCATTCTGAACCAGGAAAAAGAGGAGGGGCAAGCAACAAGGCCAAAGGGAGCCCAGAGCCAGGCTTAGGTATAGACTTAGGATCGTTCACCACCTCCACAGGGAGGTCTTGGTCCACTTTGCAGCAGTCCCTGCCAGTGACCATCTCCCGTTGATTCTGGTTGCTGGGAGTCAGGAAGAAATGGATACTCGCCTCCACTGCCACCTTCTCTCGCCTGGGAGCAGTGCCCCCTCAAGTTTTGACTTTAAGAAAGAACTATCAGTATTATATACTTACACTTGTGGCTTACCTAAGAGATCTCTCAGTACTACTGAATTCTAATACCCTGCAGCAAACCAAGACTGAGGTTAAGCCTGCTGCACTGGGCCAGGTCCCAGGGGAAGAACCTAAAATGGCATTTCAGAGGCCTCGCTGCTTTACTTGATTTTCCCTGTGCTCTTTTTCTTATCACTGCCTTGGCCGGACTTCCAAAATTAATAGTTTTGGCTTCAAATCAGATGACTGGTGTGAAAGCATCATGTTCCTCTCTGATAACTCCTGCCACCCCTGTTCTTTTTGTTTTTCCAGGTATGCCCTCACGAGGACTTTGCGCTTAGCAGATGGACCAGATGAAGTCCACCTCTCAGCTATCGCGAAGTTGGAGCTCGCAGACCAAGCCAGAAGCCTGAGGGCCAAGGTGTAAGGAGGCGACACCCTCTCACCCCTAACAACTGCATGGGCTCCAGAATTTGAATCACATTCTGTTTCTGTAGCAGTCTGAGCAGAGTAATTACTCATTTTCAGTAAAGATTTGAGGATCTATTTTGATCAGTGGGTTTAATCATTTCAAGGGTCACACATGATTAAGTTAAATTCTAAAATGGTTATTCAGTCTAATACCTAACTGTTTACTAGTTGAGTGTTTAAATACTAAATGTTAAAGATAATGAAATAAATTGGAGAGCTAAAGCATAAGCATATTTTTACTCTTTGATTCTCAAGAATTGCTCCACTTAAATATTCAAGAAATATTTAATCATTACTTCATAAAAAACATGGTGGGATCTCCTTTTTAACACCTGTTTAAGGGTTGGTTTAACACTATGGAGTCATTGGAGAAAAATGCATGACCAATGGGTCATTTTAGAGTTCATATAACCATAAGCTTCATATTCAACAAAGCATTTATACATAAAATCTGAATGCAGTTTAAACTTTACTAGAAAACATGGCATATGAGAAAATATATATAAAAGTGTAATATGCAAATAGATTGGATGGCAGAACGACCAGTCACTATGACGAGCACTGACCACCAGGGAGCAGACACTCAACGCAGGAGCTACACCCAACCAGCAGGCTCCAATAGCCCAATGGGGAACGTAAAACTGGGTGCGGGAGGCGGCGCCAGGCCAAGGCGGGTGTGAGCGAGCAGGGTCCCCGGTTGCCCCACACACAGAGGGTGACTGGTGGGGGACAGGGCCGGCTACCGGCAGCAGGGAAAATCAGCCCTGATTGCACACCAGGCCTAGGGACCCTACCTGTGCACAAATTTCGTGCACTGGGCCTCTAGTGTAATTATAAATGTTGATGGGATAGTGAATAGTTTAAGGTACAAGAAAGTTACTTAATTTTGAGATGAGATTAAAGCAGTCTGCTCTGAATGCCACCCTATTGAAAGCAGACTTCCTGGTGGTCCTTCAATCAGTCTGTTCAGTATGGCAGCCATTGGCCACATGTGACTCTCGAGCACTTGGCCTGTGACTAGGGTGACCGAGGAAATGTTTTATTTTTTTAAATTCAAATCCATTTTTAACTCAGTTACTAGAAAACTTTCAAGTATGCTTGGAATAACTTGGTAAGTGAATGGGTTTTTCAAATGTAAATTTCATGAAATTTAAATACAGAGCAAGTATTTGAATGAAAATTTAGCCTCTGAATTAAGAAATAGACTACGTATAGGCTCTGACCAGTGTTGCCCAGTGGTTATGCCCTAGGACTGAAAGGTCTTGGGTTTGATTCCCAGTGTAGGGCACACACCTGGTTTGATCCCACATGTAGGAGGCAACCAATCTATGTCTCTCTCCCTCCCTAAAATTTAGTGGAAAAAATGTCCTTGGGTGAGGATTCAGACTAAGTGTAAAATACACACCAAATTTTGAAGACTTGATAATAAAAACATTTACTTTTTTCATAGTAATGCTTTTAAATTTTTATCTGTTTTATCTTTTTAGTGTGAAAGCGATTGGAATAGTAACTGTCAAGTTTTTAAATTTTCATTGGAAAGTACTTCTAAAAACTATAAAACTGTTTTATTGGAAAGCTTACCTGTAACATGAATGTATTGATGTCCGGCAATAAGACCTGCATTCTGGTTCCTTGTGTGTGTCACGTGGGCTTCTGAAACATTTGCCTTTGACCCTTGACCTCTCTGCACATTTTTCTTTCTACACACTGGAATTAACTTTTAAACCTTAGGACCATTACCATCTAAGCGCAGCAGTTCTCAACCTGTGGGTCGCGACCCCTTTGGGGGTCGAACGACCCTTTCACAGGAGTCGCCTAAGACCATCATAAAACACATACATAATTACATATTGTTTTTGTGATTAATCACTATGCTTTAATTATGTTCAATTTGTAACAGTGAAATTGGGGGTCACCACAACATGAGGAACTATATTAAAGGGTTGCGGCATTAGGAAGGTTGAGGAGCACTGGCTAAGGGTTTATTCTGACAATCACTGAGGCCATATAGAAGCAACTGACATTTATGAACCACAATGAAGTACTTTAAAACAGCGGTCACCAACCGGTGGTCTGTGAGGTCCGAAAAGTTGGCGACCGCTGCCTTAAAAGATATTCTTACCACGTTAAGCGCCCAGCCTGTTTTGTCTTCCGGATGGAAAGTGTAGTGTCAGTCACCAATGACCTACAGGGCGCTTAATGTGTTTAATAAAATCTTAACCCCTACCTTTACTTCATTCAGATAAAATGTGATGAACAATAGTAAGAGTTGGTGAAAGGGAAAATTCCAGTCTCCAAAGGATAAAATAAGATCAAGCAACCCTTTGCCTCAATCGCGGTGACTAACAGTAAACATAGGAGCCTCATAGGGATTTCTAGGATCGCCTCAGGCTGACGCCAGGTGTCACTCTGCAGCGAAGTTCGCCTTGCATCTGAAACCAAATGGTTTTTAAAATAAGCAGTTACTCTACGATACCCATGTGGGAAGGAGAGAAATCACTGTCAGCACTTCGCCCTCCAAGATTTGTGTGTGATCAGCAGCCGAGAGGAGGGGCTGGTAACGTCCGACAGGGAAGTTACCATGAGTAACGCCACACAGTGTCATGGAAAGCGTGGCAGGGCTTGCCCAGGGCGGTGAGGTAGTTCACATGTTAACCTTGGAGAATACACAGTAGGAAGTTCAGCTAATGCTGGAGGAGCTGATTCCTCAACAGCTTCCCCCAGCTTATATCACCCAACTCTTCCCTCAGTTGTGGTCTATTCACACGTCACAGGCCTGCTCATATTCTGTCCAAGAGCAGCATTTATGTACTTTGATAGATAGGTTGCGTAACATTTGTAAAAACCCCCACTTTTTTCATTCTTTAATTAAGCTACAACAGTTGCTGGGAAGTTCAGAAGGAAGTTACTTCTTACCCAGGCTTCTGAAGGGATTTAAATTAGTGAAGGTCTTAAATACATTTCACTTTATAAAACTTTTTTAAAGAAGATGTATTCATGAACAAATGCCCTATTTTAATCAAGCCAGGTAGCCTTGGCCCAGCTTCACACTTTCACTGACACTTCATGATCCCTCCCCCAGGAGAAAGGGGGTATAGCCCAATCAGAAAAGATCTCCCCTACCTTGGCCGGTGTGTTCAGTGGTTGGAGCATCAGCCTGCCCACCAAAGGGCCTTGGGTTTGATTCCCAGTCTAGGGCACATACTCGGGTTGCAAGTTCAATCTCTGGCCCTGGTCATGGTGCATGCAAAGGCAACCAATAGATATGTCTCTCTCAAATTAGTATCTCTCTCTCACCCTTCCTCTCTCCCTTCCACTCTAAGAATCAATGCAAAAAAATATCCTCAGGTGAGGATTAACACACACAAAAAAGATCTACCTTGACATTTCGAGAAGACTGCTCACTTTTTTTGCATAGTGGAGGGTCCCCTGTCCCTGGAATCATACCTGATCTCTAGTAGGCACTCAATAGGGGATGACTGAATGACAACTTGTGGGCTCACCAAAGCCATCTCCAGTGGTTTTTCCATAAAAATGACCTGTCTTGGCTCCAAGATCCACAAACCCTGAACAAGAAGCGTCTGGCCTGGGCATGCCACCTACCTCTTGCTTAGTGGCCCCAGGCCCAGCACTAGCAGCAGCCGGCCTCGGTGCACAGCTTGGCCTCTCCTGGGTTCCTGCAACCCCAGCATGAATAGCAACCATCTTTGTGTCACTCCGTAGCTCAGACCAGGTGGTGCGTACCTGGGTTGCAGGGTCCTCACCTGAGCCCTGGTGGGGGCGCATGCAGGAGGCAGCCAATCGATGTGTTTCTCTCACATCGATGTTTCTGTCTTTCCCTCTCTCTTCCACTCTCTCTAAAAATCAATTGAAAAAATATGAGGATTAAAAAATAAAATTATGTAAAATTACTAAAAAATTTTTAAAAAAATAAGAGTATGAATGAATGAATGATGAGCATGGATGTTCTCTTGATTTGCAATCGCTGAGAGGAAAAAGCATTTATTTATCAGTTTGCAAAAGACAAAGCAGAAAGCCTGAACCCCAGCCCCTGATCACAGAGGTGGGCAGCAAGACCCAGAATGGGGTACAATTAACTGGAGGAAAACGGCCTGAGATAGGACCACTGCTGGGGTGGGGGGTACACAGCAGTTTGAGCAGTAAGTAGATGAAGTAGATCTTTAATGAGTAACAATACAGGGAAATGCATATCTACACTTTAAATTTTTCCTGGTGCTGTAATCAGCTCTAGGTACCGAGGGAAGTCAGGTAACCTAAGAAAAACAAAACCATTCTTGGTGATGGCTAGAATTTTCCAATTTCCCAAATAAACAGGATTCTGGGAAGTGTCCTCACTTAATTCAAGGCAGCCAAAGAACACGTAGGATTTATGATCCTGCCACAGTATTTTTGTTTCTCTCTTTTCAGTACCTCTGATTGTGGTGATTTATAAAATTTACCCACTGGCCAAGACAACCTAAAGCCATACTTCTCCACCCTGGCTGAACATCCAAACCCCCAGGGAGCTTGGCATGGACCCAGCCCCGGTGTTGTGACATAAGCGGTAAATAAGATGTACCAGGAATTCTGGTGAAACGAGGCTTGAGGGTGGAGCCTCCCAGCCAAATCCTAATCAGGTCTGTTAGGATGTTTGACTGCCAACAGCAGGAAGAGATGGGCTAGTGTGAGCCAAAGGGAATCTGTTAGGTGGGTGTGGAGTTGGAAGCTAAGGGAGTCTAGGGGGTCTCACCCAGACACAGGAGGGAGAGCGACCCCTTCAGGGGCTCACCTTCCTCTCACCTGCCCACCGGTTCTGTCCTTGGCTTGTCTGCTCAGGCTCTGAGGAGCATCTGACTGCACAAACTCAGGTTACAGGTCTGCGCCGGCCTGTTCTGGAATAGGAAGAGAGGAGAGAAATATAATGCAAGCCACATGGGTGATTTACAGTTTTCTAGTGCCACATTAAAAAAGTAAAAAGAGCCCTGACCGCTTTGGCTCAGTGGATAGAGCATCAGCCTGCGGACTGAAGGGTCCCGGGTTCGATTCTAGTCAAGGGCATGTACCTTGGTTGTGGGCACATCCCCAGTTAGGGGGTGTGCAGGAGGCAGCTGCTTGATGTTTCTCTCTCATCAATGTTTCTGGCTCTCTATTCCTCTCCCTTCCTCTCCGTAAAAAATCAATAAAATATATTTTTTAAAAAAGTAAAAAGAAATGTGTGGAATTTTAATAATGTATTTTATTTAACCTAATATGTCCAAATATTATTTCAACATGTAACCACTATAAAAAATTATCAATATGGTATTTTCTACTTTTCCCTCCAAATCCAGAGTATAGTTTACATTTATAACACATCTTAATTTGGAAGCTGAATTTTCAAATGGAAATACTTGAACTATAAAAAGTTAACAGGCCTGGCCGGTGTGGCTCCGTGGTTGAACATCGACATATGAACCAGGATGTCACAGTTCGATTGCAGGTCAGGGCACATGTCCGGCTGCAGGCTCGATCCCAGTAGGGGGCATGTAGGAGGCAGCAGATCAAGTACTCAGTGGTCACCTGTGGCCAGTGGCTATGGTATGGGACAGCATGACTGTCTCTTTAACAGTTGCAGAAGTCACCAGGATACCCTCTCCCCAAAGTCACACTCAGTGGGGGAGAGGCTTGGGCATTAATAGAAATGGAAAAAAAATGGATGCTAGTAGCCAAAACCAACTGTTGCAGTGATTTTAAATCTTTCATGGTTTTGTCTGAGGAAGGAAAAAAAGTGAACTCCAGTACATTTCCTGTATTTAAAAAACAAAACAAAACAAAACAGCACAACAAG